ATGACTAAAGTTGTACGTGTGGCTTGTTGTACACTCTTCATGTAATTACAAACAGTAGAGACTATCAATGTATATCCTATATGCAATTCTAATAAAATTCTTTTGGCAATGTAAGTCGCCTTAATAACAAAAAAAAAAAATAAAAATTTTTTATTAATAATATATGTTCTAATTATTATAAAAATCTATAATAGAATAAAAAATTATATATTTTTATAATTATCAACTCTTTTGTTAATCACTTTTATCAAAAATTTTATAAAAAAATAAATATAATATTTTATATAAAAATTTTTTTATTTTAAGTAATATTTGTTATAAACTATATTATTAATAAAGTAAAAAGTTTAGCTAAGATAATAATATAAATAAAAACTTTAGACTTCTATAGTTTTAGTAGAAATTAAACTTTTTTTAGTAGACTTCTCTATACTATTTAGCATCTAAGCTAAAAGAAAAGGTATTTCTAGTAATATAATTCTTTAACAAAAAAAACTTACTATAGAAATTTAAAATATAAAATTTTTAATATATTCTTTAAATTATAAAAAACCAACTCCTAACTCTCTTTTAAATTCAACTATACTTAATACTTTTTTATTGTACAAAAAGTTAAGATTTAACTTACTCTTTTTAAAAGATCAATATTTGTATTACTTTTATTTTAAGAATAATTATATTGTCTACTAAATAACAATAATACATATATCTTAGCTAAATGATAATTTATACTTAAATATATATTTAAGTCAGAGACATATAGTCAGATTATATGTTTGATAACAACAAATTAGATTTAACTTAAAAACTATTCATTATTAGAGATATATTTTAGTAACTATTTCTATACAACCTTTAGTTATAGATATATAATTTTTAGAATCTATATCATTTTATTGACAATTATTTTATCAGCAGCTCATTTAGCTTCAAGTAACAATTTACTAAAAATATATACCTGAAACTAATAAAACCCTAACTCTAACCTCATATAATATCAGCTAAATAAATTTTCAGTGAAATAACTATCAGTGAAATGAGTGATACTATAATTTTTATACTATATCTAGAAACAGAATACTACCTTTTTGTTTTTTTTTTGATTTACATTTTACTGCAAAGTATTTTTTCATGTTGCATATTTTTTCTTTGTAATTATATTATATAATATCAAACTTTTATATCTACTATTATATATAATTTTTATTTTTTTTATACCTTTTCACTATACAAGAAACTATTATTAGTTTGATAGTAATCAATTATATAGATAAGAAGTTATAATAGACTGTGATATCTACTCAGAGATTTATTTTTATTTTTTCAAAATATTAAATATTAATGATAAGAGAAAAGATCATTATAGCAGATAATATATAGATACTATTATGGTAACCAGATGAGTCAATACTTAAAAACTACTAAATTAGATTTATAGAGTGTAGATTATTTTGTAACTATGTAATTTAATTTTATGTTTTGCTTTAAGAGCAAAATTTGGTATAAATAAAGTATTGGCATGACTAGCTGAAAAGGTTAAAAAAAAAATATTTTTATAATAAAATTTTTTTAAATTTAAAAATATTTAAATATACGAATGCAACCTCTAATACACAGTTTATATAAATTACAATTCATAATTACCTTTTAAAGAAACTTTGCAAATTTCTTAATGTTAATTTAATTTAAATTAATTTAAGCTTCATCGATTAAAATTTATATATAATACTATTTAATCATGAATATATAGAAATTGTATATGTAAATTTTGCAATTCCAAATTTGCTATTTAAAAACTATATTCAATTTTATTTGTAGGAATTCAATCTGCAAGTAGATATTATTCGTGGTTTTTTTTTAGATAGCATAGATACCATATTCAGGTTAATAACAACTTATCTATTCATTTGTATCAATTATAAATTTAGTAAAGCAAATAAGATTGCAATTTCATTATCAAAAAAAAATGATTTTTTTTTTTATTTTGAACGAATAAAATCATAATAATAAATTTAATACGTATAAACATAACAAATAAATAAAGTAATAACTATGAATAATGATAATAAATTTAATATAAATATAACAGATAAATAAAGTAATAACTATGAATAATGATAATAAATTTAATATAAATATAAAAGATAAATAAAGAAAAAATAATGAACAATAATAATAAACTTAATATAAAATACTTAAGTCTAATTATAATACGTAGATTATAACATAGCATTATATGTTCGGAACCTATCATATAATGAGTATATTATGTTTACAAATAAAGGCAACAATATGATACGTAGTTCAAATTAAGTGGATAATATATAATGTCACCTTTGTATACTTAATGTTCTTAGTTACACTCGGAAAAATAAAAATATACTAGTAAATAATATAAATAAGTATAGTTGACTTAATTTAATTAAAAATTATGTCAGAATAATATAATTTCATTTTGGAGTTTGATATATTGGCAATTGGCCTATTGGCCAATTAACCCAAGTTGAAAAGCATCGGATGTTGGTGATTCAAATGAATAACAGGCGTCTTGCATGAGTAAGTTATCTTGTTTGCGGCAATAATTAAGATTATCTCCTTCCAGAATTTGTTGGCAAAACATTTCATAATGATCAACCCAAATACGTTGATTATTAATTAAATTTGGTTGAGGAATGTGGTGGTTGACATTATCCAACCCTAAAGTATAGTGATTGATATCAGGAGAATTTTGATGCAAATTTTGATGCACATTTTGTTGCGCATTTGGCTGGGTGTGTTGAGAAGAAACACCTTCAATTTTTTTATAATTGTTAGTAATTCTGACTACTTTTGGTCGAAGATGTTTATGAACTTTGCCTTTGGGACCTCGTTTAGCACCTTGAATAAAGACACAATTCATATTTTGTTTGTTACAGAGCATACAAGGATTGCCGATACATTTTTTACGTTTGGATCTACAAAAAGTACATGCAGTTGTAGTATTTTTTCGCTTTTTATTTTCTTCACACATGACGATAATTCGGGACTTAATAAATAAAACAGTATTTGGAATTGTATAATAAACCAAGAATTTAATGACCGAGAATAAGTCAAGATTAGGTTATAGGGGATGTAGATTTATATAAAACAATTTGTTGCAAAGTCTTGACAAATTTCAAATCAGCAATATCATGCCTCATTTATAATTTTTTTTTATGTTTTTTATTTCGGAGTTGGGTCCGAAGATAATCTATAATGTAGATTGATCTGTAAGCGCGGCCAGCACCGAAAGCTAATAGGAAAAATTCTGATAATTTAGTTATGATTAATTTCTGTAACAAAAACACATATGAGCGAATTACCAAATAACATTGTCTCTAAATAATGTGTGTACCCAGGAAAATTCGGTAGTACCATAAATAATAATTATTATTGTATATATATATTATGAATTATATTTATTAATCAGTAAAATATAAATCCTTCTTACAAACATTTTAACAAATTTTTCGATAGCAGATTAGAAATTTTACTTAAGACCGTACAGTACGTAGGATAAATATCAGATATGGTATCCGGTATTGCTATTTATACCGAGTATAAATGCTATATTACATATGTAAGTGTATTAAAATTTTATTATGTCAGATAAATCATATTCAATTTAACTCAATCAAAGATTAGATTATTCAACGTGTTTTTTTAGTGATCAAATATTGTGTTGTCATTTTGTCTATAACAAAATAAAAAGGAACATATAATGGAGGAGGCCTGGTGGCACTAATGTACAAATTGGTACAAATTGGTGTAACTAAAATAAAGGGGTTAATCTACGTATGTAACAGGTAATACGTATGATTATAATTTTATTTAGCTTATAGTATCTATTAAAAACTGATATAAATGAGTCGATTTATGCTTTAGCGATCTTATATCTTAATATAATACTATGTCTAAGTGTTCACCTTTAAAATTACATGACTTCATATTTTAGAATAATCACGAGAGAAATTTAAATGTTAAATTAATAAAATCCTGATTTTTCGAATACAATGTTAAGATTTAATTTTTAAGCGGATCAATTTTACACGTGTAATATGCATAAAATATTTTTCGTCATTTGTACTATACGTACTGTACATCAATTTTCTATACGAGTCCAAATGAAACCGGAAATCTTAAGATTTCCGTCTTCATTTCTGTGTATTGTATTGGGTGCGCTGAGAATTAAAAATCTTGATGTCAGTATGCATATTTGTGTAAGTAGTACAGTACGTACTTTTTTTTTTTTTTTTTTAATATCGACTACGTATCTATTATAATTATAATGAAACATATCAGAATATCTGTATTAGGAAAAAATTTTAGGCCAGCGGCACAAAAATAGGCACAGACCTAACTTTAAAAGTACCTGGCTTTAATATGCCCAATAGGTACGTACTTTGTGCTTGGCTTTAAAAGTGGCTTAAAAGTGCCTAGCACTTCTGTGCTCACATGGCACGTTTGCTTAGAAGCATTTTGTGCTTGGCTTAAAATTGTATACACTTCTGTAACCATAGACACTTTGTGCTAGTGTAGCAAGCCGGCTTAGCCGCTTCAGCCGATCTAGCCGCGGCTTATATTACTGCGGCTCAGCCGTGGCTGAGCCGCGGCTGAGCCGCAGTAAATATTTAATAACGTCGAT